ATCTAATCGGTCTAGTGGAGGTAATTGGCAGATGTAGATCAAATTAAGGATCAGTGAGTTCATTGTGGAGGGCTCTCATGAATCAGGGTAAAGGTGCCATATGTTATGGAAGGAGGGGTGGATTTTCAGCGTTGCTGAACGTTAAGACCCTATTCACCCCTTAGCAAACCTGAATTCTCCTAATCTTTGAGTTCTTGGTGCAACCCTCTTCTGGAGAACAGCATCACAAAGTCCGATGTGACTTCCAAGCGGATGGAACTTATATTACTTGGCTGAAGATCATCCGCGAAGCTGTGTGCTTCCATCACGCTGCTTGGCAATTTCTTTTTTTTATTGATCGATTGATTGAAATGACCAGCGGTCCTGATTCCATCATAGTGAAACAGCACAATCATAGAGTCATAGGGCTGGAAGGGACCTAGGAGGTCTTCTAGTCTAACTTCCTGCCCAGAAGACCTTATTCCAACCCTGACAATTAGCTGTATAAGCTTTTCATGAAGACCTCCAGCGACGGACATTTCTTCTGCAGGCAGAGGAGAAGATGCCACATCGCCATTTTCTTTGTTCTTGTGTCTTTTGAAGTCTTCTATAAAAAGATTGCTTTTGTTTCTACCTAATCTGGATGATCTTCCTTTCCAGCTCTACCTGGCCGTGGTCCTTGCGTTGGTTGTCATTTTGACCGGGATGTTCGCTTATTATCAAGAAGCGAAGAGCACAAACATAATGGCCAGCTTCGGCAAAATGATCCCACAGGTGAATTTCCAATCATGATTAGTCTACTAATGCATCTAAGAAGAGGTACTTAGGCATTTTATTTCTCCTAGAGTGGGTAGGAGAAACGAGATTGGTCTAGAAGTCAATACAATTAAAAGGGAAGTTAGCTCTCTGTTCCCATTATATATTGAGTTCCAATGTACCCATAATATCTGGAGAACAACGTATAGTTTTGGCTATGGAGGTTCTCAATCATCCAGGTCATGGTTGTCCCAAAGATAATTTTTCTCAAAGGCAACTGAACTTTCTATGTTTTTCCTTGAAGATGTTTTGCTTCTCATTCAAGAATCATTTCTCCTCCTCCTCCTCCTCCTCCTCCTCCTCCTCCTCCTCTTCTCTTCTTCCTCCTCTCCATAAACCCCACTTCCTTCTACCCTGATAATCTTCCTTAGTTAAATCATGAATCATCTGCAAGAAAACAGCCAACTCAGAGAGCACCAAGGACCCTCATAGTTTGATCCTGAGTTACAAAGCCACCAGCAGAAGTAAAACATCTGAAAAACAAGTTTGTTCAATAGCAAAGGGGGGGAAAAACCCATGGAGACTCTTTTAAACTTTTACAAGTAGCATTTCTGTATCCTTTTACAAGAAAAGTCTTCCCACAGGAATTATCATGTTATGACCGTAAATTCTGTAAGTTGTTCCCTTTCTGAAGTGTTTTGTCTAGTTGCCTAAGACTGAGATGACAACAGTGTAAACTCTACTTCAACTCTGGATTTGTTTACCCTGCTCAAAATATTTTAGATGAAGCAAGGGGAGATGAGCACCGGGGAGTAGAGATGTTTCTTAATTGCTGTCCTATTTTGCAGGAAAGGCCAAAAAGTTTGAGAAAGACACACGTGTATTTTTTTTAATGAAACAGGTGATTAAGGTTGAGTGAAAATATAAATAAACAATTAGGTTGCAATGAAGAATAATCCAGCATTTATCTCTAATATCTCTAATAGAGATGGAGATAATATCACAGAAGTGAGTGCACCCCCTCACATTTTGTAAATATTTAAGTATTTGCTGCCAGCAGTTTAGACATGAATGGCTGTGTGTTGTGTTATTTTGAGGGGACCGCACATTTACACTGTTATACAAGCTGTGTACTCACTACTTTACATTGTAACCAGAGGTCATTTCTTCAATGCTGTCATATGAAAAGATATACTTAAATATTTACAAAATGTGAGGGGGTGTACTCACTTCTGTGATATACTGTAGAAAGGAAATAGGAATAAGGGGAAAACCGTGAAAAGTATTCTCTCCTAACACAGTTCACTCTTGTTCTTTATTGAAAAACTTCTCCCTTGCCTCCAACTAAAACATTCTGCTGCCCACTCCCTGGTTCACTTTCTTGGCTCATCATTCTTAGAATCTGAAATCTTGTAGTACAATTATCCTTCTCGGAGTTTTGCCCCTTTTTTTAAAAAAAGACAAGTTCTACCATAAGGAGGACAATTAAGAAAAAATGTTTGTGTAACACGATACCTGAACATCTGGAAGGCTCCCATAATCTCATGTTGTTGTTTTTTAAATTTTATTTATAGTTTTTTTTCCCCCTTTGACATACATAAGTGCTTAGTGAACAGTATATTGTCCGGGTCAATTTACTTTATATCCAATACTAATAACAATAATAATACTATTTAGGTATACATGGCAATAATTTTTCAACTAATATTTACATATACATAGTAATTATAATATATTATATTATGTAGCAGTATACAAAATAATATAGGGATGTGGTGGCTCAGTGGTTAAAACCCTAACCCCTACCCTTACCCCTACCCCTAATCCCTAACCCCTAACCCCTAACCCCTAACCCCTCAACCCTAACCCCTATCCTCACCCCTATCCCTAATCCTACCCCTAACTCCAAACCCCTATCTCTTCCCCTAACCCTTAACTCCTAACCCCTAACCCCTACCTCCTACTCTACCCCTACCCCTACCCCTAACCACTTCCCCTAACCCTACCCCAACCCCTACCCCTAACCCCTAACCCCCAGCCCCTAACCCCTAGCTTCTAACTCCTAACCCTAACCACTTCTCCTACCCCAACACCTATCCCTATTCCTATCCCTATCCCTAACCCTAACCCTAACCCTAACCCTAACCCTAACCCTAACTCCAAACCCCTATCCCTTCCCCTAACCCTTAACCCCTAACCCCTAACCCCTACCTCCTACTCTACCCCTACCCCTACCCCTAACCACTTCCCCATACCCTACCCCAACCCCTACCCCTAACATCTAACCCCCAGCCCCTAACCCCTAGCCTCTAACTCCTAACCCTAACCACTTCTCCTACCCCAACACCTATCCCTATCCCTAACCCTAACCTCTAACCCCTAACCACTCCCCCTACCCCTAACCTCTAATCTCATGTTGATCTTTGTTTCACAGGTGGACAATTCCTCTCTCACTGGGGAGTCAGAACCTCAGTCCCGCTCATGTGAATTCACTCACGAAAATCCACTGGAAACCAAAAACATCGGTTTCTATTCCACAACCTGCTTGGAAGGTATGTGTGTCAGAGGAGTGACAGAGACAGGATGAGACTTGCCAAAGCTCAAGGCGGTTTGCTCCTTAACATAGCGTCTCTGTTGTATTACTCCGAGAACATTCTTGGCGACTCCATTTTTAGTTTATCTTTGACCTGCAAGGCAGGGAAAAAAATATATCCCATAAGCCCCTTCTTTGGGGAAAGAGAAACAGCCAATAAAATTCAAAGAATGGGAACAAGGCAATAAAATTGCAATCAAGCAAAGTAAATAACAATTTCCTGCCTCACCATGCCACCCAGGATCTGCTGCCCGAGGCAGGTTGCTTCACATCTGCCTCCTGTTAGAGCTAGTTCAATCCCCTGCCATGACAATCTCACATGCTACCCGAACTGACCTTTCCATTTTGTGCCTATGCGAAATTGCAACCAGGAGAAAGACTCTGTTACCTACCATTTTTCTATACTTTGGGGCCGAACCCAGTGAGGTTCAAGGCTGGACTTCCCACCCTTAATCATTATTACCTATCTATATATATAAAAGCCAAATACCAACCACTCATCACAAAACCTTCAGAACTGTAAAGCCTACAAACTTCAAATTCGGCACATACGTTCCTCTTGGCGTCTACGTGCTCGCTAAGAAAGGATTTTTCTAAATGACCATCAACTCATCAGTATTTCTTATACAGTATTAGGTGAACATGCATTGATGCTAAGGACCTAGACGTTCTACTCCCCCTCCCCACCTTAAAGGAACTCTGTTCCAACTGCCAGTTGTCTTATATGGGCATGGCCAGTGTGTGACTCACCCGACCTGCGGGAACTCTGTCCCAACTGCCAATTGCCTGATATTAACACACTTTGATACTAAAGAATTACACATTCTACATTAATTTTCAAGCGTTAAGTGTTAATGTATCAAGCCCAATCGTAACCACTCATTAATTATCAAGCCTGATCACATAGTTTTCTAGCGACGCATGGGTATCCAGCTAGTATGTTAAAACACGAACATTTAATCCAGTGTTTTGAAGTTGGAAACAAATATATGGGGGGAGGAATTGAAGCTGGTCTTTGACCCCCAATCTTCTGGAGCATAGGGATCCTTCTGATCCAAAGTCCAGGAGATGGTCTCTACTTGTATGTGTGCATGAATGTATGGAGGAAGTGTCAGGAAAAGGCAGGGTCGTGTGATGAAAACTTGAATGGAAGAAATGTTCAGTTTATCAATATACTGTATAGCCTTCTTTGGGGTCCTTGGCGTTATCTGGACGTGGTTATTTTCCTGAAGATGCTTTATGACCCAACTAGGTAGCATCATCAGGGCTAGAAGGGAGTGGGGTTTGCTCTCTGTTTATATATCCTGTTTAAGCTTGCTTTGCCAGTGTTGATGGAAGTGTTCATCAGGAACCACCAAAAACACTCCCACCAATACTGACAGGGCAAACCACTTGTATATAAATAGAGAGCAAACCCCACTCCCTTCTAGCATGGATGTTGTTATCTAGTTTGGTCGTGAAATGTCTACAAGAAAACAACCAAGCTCAGAGAGCACCAAAGACCCCTCAGGACACCACTGAGGCACAACCATTCTCTTCTGTTGGTCTAGTCTTCTTGCTAACCAATCCTTTCTCTTAGGTACTGCTACGGGGATTGTGATCAACACGGGTGACAACACTATCATCGGCCGAATTGCCTCTCTGGCATCTGGAGTGGGGAATGAGAAGACACCCATTGCTCTTGAGATAGAACACTTTGTCCACATTGTGGCCAGTGTTGCTATCTCCATTGGAGTGCTTTTCTTCATCATTGCGGTCTCCATGCATTACCATGTCCTGGATTCCATCATCTTCCTCATCGGTATCATTGTGGCCAATGTGCCTGAGGGACTGTTAGCTACGGTTACGGTGAGTATGCATTGCTCCCTTGCGCCATCAGTAATTCTGCAGAACTCCTGGTCTGCAGGTGAAACGTGGTCTTCTACCGAACACAAGAGGATATCAACTTTTAGGAGAAGACTTCTCAATGTGCTGGGTGGGAATGTTCTCCAATGGTGGCTTCTCTTGTAATGAAACTTCTGTTCTGCCGAATCCTCATGGCATTTCAACTTTCAATATGTTGTGGTAGACTTTTAGAACTTTCTTAAGTAATGCAAAGGTTCTGGCACATGGTTGGTTCTCCTTTGTAGTTCCTTCCAGTCATTCTCTAGTTCATGCTAGTAGCAGCTCCTGGCTAACAAGTAAGTTATAGATTAAAAGAGTTGGAAGGGACCTTGTAGGTTATCCAGTCCAAACCCCCTGCCAAAGCAGGAGACCCTGCATCATTTCTGACAGATGACAGTCCAGTCTCTTCTTGAAAGCCTCCAGCGATGAAGCTCCCACAACTTCTGAAGGCAACTTCTGTTCCATTCATTGATTGTTCTCACTGTCAGAAAATTTCTCCTTATTTCCAGGTTGAATCTCTCTTTGTTCAGTTTCCATCCATTATTCCTGCTATCATGTCTCCCCTGGTTCTTCTCTTCACTAGACTAGCCATGCTGAGTTCCTGCAACTGTTCATTGTATGTTTCAGCTTCTAGTCCCCTAATCATCTTGGTTGCTCTTCTTTGCACTCTTTCTAGAGCTTCAACATCTTTTTTATAGTGTGGTGATCAAAAGTGGATCAGGTCCAGCTAGTACTTAAAGTAAGATCCTCCAGGACATTAAATTAGAATGATTAAAGGAACTTCTTTGGTGCAGGTGGAGACAAACCATGTCTTCCAGGGTACAAAGAAGCCTTCGTGGTTTCACTTACTGACTGTGGTGATTCACTTAACAACCATTGCAAAAAAAAGGGGAAAATTGGGTCAGTCACATGGCCAGCCTTTCTTATCACTGTCCTGACTTACGAGTACGATGGGCAAACTGCATTAGGACTGCCTTTAGTTGGAAAGAGGACTGTATGGAGAAAGATAGGCTATCATATGCAAATGTGCAAAACCACACAGAACTGTACTCAGCCAACTCCATCTAGGTTAATTGCCGAGGCTTAGCACACCACTCGTGGGAATTTCGCTAATATTTCCCTCCCCCGCTCGTTGACAAAAATAATGCCGAAGAAAATATCAGTCTAGCACTAACCTCTATTTCTAGCATGTTAAACGATGCATCATACAATTTTTAAAAATCCCACGATTTCCAAATCTGGATTTTGGCTCTCTTCCTTGTTTGAAAGTTTGTACGTACGTACGTACGTACATACATACATACATACATACATACATACATACATACATACATACATACATACATACATACATACATACATANGAACAGCTGGAGCCTGTTCCCAGTGTGTGCATGCACAGAGTTGCCAGATGAAGGGAACAGCTAAGTAACAAGGGTTGACTTCGGAGTAAGACCACAGGTAGACGATGAATGGCCCCTCCTAGAGGAAATAAAAGAGGAGTGAAAGAGGAGGTGTTTTTGCCGAAGACAATTAATTCATTCCTGCATTCTTGCCAAGTATTGTGGCGTCTGAAAGATATCGGCCCGGCCACTCTCCAAGCCTGATAAAGGTCGGTAACTGTGTACTATCTTGAAAGACTGTGGGAGAGGAAAGACTTTGCTGGAGAGGAATTCACTGTAAATTAAATAAAAGGAGTTTATCGGGATGAGGATTCAGCTTCATGCTGCTGGGGAAGCCTAGGTCAGAACAATTTCTGCTGACTGCCAGCTGCCAGCTGCCTGAAATTTGGCAGTTCGAATCTCACCAGGCTCAAGACTCAGCCTTCCATCTTTCCGAGGTGGGTAAAATGAGGACACACATTGTTAGGGGCAAAATGCCAGCTCTGTAAACCGCTTAGAGAGGGCTGCAAAGCACTGTAAAGTGGTAAGAGCTATTACCAAGTGCCAAGTGGCAACGGAAATTCTGCTCGTACCTCAAGGACTGTCCGTATCACATTTTTATCGGGGACTCCATGTTTCATGATCGTTCCACCCGGGGTCAAAACGTTTCTTCCCGGTATGAGAAAGTTGGCCCGGCAAAGTTGTAATCTTTATTGAATGTAGGAGCGAAGATTGCTATTAAGATAAAAAAAAGGACAAGTGAACTTGTTGATAGATGGCCAATAGTGTAAGTTTTTATGGAAACCTTTACTGTTGTTCTTGCAACATAAAGCGGTTAAGTCTGCCTAGATTGCTTCCCGGTAATTTCATGTTATGATCATTATTATTTTTGGCTGCAGTAGATGACTTGTTTGTTATGGTTTTGCCCCGTGGTGTTTTATCACCTTCTCGGTCTAGCCTACAACTTGGTGTCCTGCCCAAGGGTCAGCCGGTTCCAAGCAGCTTAGCTTTTCAAAATCAGGCAAGGTCTCCTCAATGCAGCCACTTCACTTGAGCCTTCTTGGGTATCTACCAGCTAAAGGAAAATGTATGAATGTTGAATGTTTGAATGTTTATTTTATTTATATGCCGCCCTTTTCCCCCCGAAGGGGACTCAGGGCGGCTCACAACTCAAACCAGGGAAGGGGGTGATACAAACAAAATTAAAAACGACGCAAAACAATGCATAATTTAAAACACACAACAGTCGTACCATTCGAGACGGGGGCAACAATTCTTTAGCCCCAGGCCTGTCGGAACAGCCAG